AATTGGAAAGGATGATGGTGTTGGGCCCCGGACTGGGTCCTGGTACCACATTGTTTTGCCTTGCTGAGCTGGGACTCTGTTTGGCTACAAGAACCTTATAAATGAAAAGGGGATGAAAAAAAAATTAAAAAAGACATGGGAAAGGCTGTCTATGGAATGTGTCACTGCCCCGTAGTGTGAAGCCCAAATCCATCCCTCTACATGTCTTCTGGAAACTGCTAATATATTGCTAATATCCCACCCACTCAGGCCCCTGCTGCACCGTAAAAAGAGCCTTCAACCTGCCACAAAAGATACATGAAATGGCTTCCTCCAATACCTCTTCATCGCTGTTAAGTTCATCGGCAGTGGCAAATTTATATTTGCTGTTAGCACTGATCAAGCTGGTTCTTTTCTCCGGAAGGAGTTTCCATTCTCCTTTCATATCTGGCCCTAAGGATGCTAAGGACTCTTTGGCATTGAATCTGCTGCAGGTCTCCTTGGCTTTTTCGCAGCTGGCTTTGATGGTCTTCTGGAAAGATCCAGGCATTCTAGGTCTCAGTGTTTGGTGCTGGCCTGCTACTGGTTCTTTGGCATCTGAGACGGATTTGGTGTTTTCTGCCTCTCTCTGCTTGCTTATTGCAGAGAGGTGGTAAGTGCTGTTCCTCCCTCTTGGCTTACGCTCCACTACTGGGCCTTTGGTGGCAGAAGTATCTTCTCTTTCCTCTTCACGTCTTCTTGAATGAAGACTCTGCACGGAGGGAGTTTTGGCCCGGAGACTCTGTTTGCTCTGTTTTTCAGTCTGAACACACTTTGCAGAAGGACATGTCTGAGATTCAATAGATGTGGAATTCTTTGCTGTTCCCTGAGCCACTGGGCCCTTGGAGGTCTTCCAGGAGGCTCTCCTGGAGCTCATTTGGGATGTTCTCTCTCTGCTGGGACATAAGCCTTCTGGAAGACGCTCCTTTTTACCTTCCTCAGGTTGCACTTAAAGACAAAAATAATAGCTCAATGAATTTGATACTGTTTTGATGACAGGTGGTACTGTAAATGGAGCTGGAAAAAAACGGACATGTCATTGCGTCATTATCAGACAACAAAAGAAACATTAAAAGTCTCAAAGAGGGA